ACTGTGACATCAGCAGTCTGGACAAAGAGCAGAGTTTCAGGAACTTATCCCAAGAGCAGAAGTTGAGGACCAGCATTCCTGGAACAGGAGATGGGAACCTGGAAAACTGTGAGATGTTTGCAGAACCTCAGTTCCACCTCTTGGCCAACACCTCAGTAGATGGCAGTGTTGAGGAGCCGTCCACGGTCGGATGTCAGGATGGGTGGGTTTACGACCACTCCACCTTCAGCTCCACCATCACTTCAGAGGTGACAACACTGTGTCATTCATCTCCTGTTGTTGTTGTTTTTACTGCTGTCACTATGGTAACCATGACATCACCTCCACGGCCGCATCAGAGGAAATGACTTCACATTTAAACACAGGTTCTGACTGAAACATCAGTGGATCCAGAACTCCTCCATCACGATTTACTGGATTTGGTCTGTAAGGAGTAACGATCGATCGTTAGTCAATGAATCACTGACAGTGTCTGTAATAATGATGTTTAGTTGTGACAGGAATGAGAAAAGGCCAGACATTGGTTGTTCTAACTGTGTTCACTGTCACTGGAGTTCGTTTTTTTTTTTTCCAGTGGGATCTGGTTTGTGACAAAAAGAGTCTGACCAAGACCTCCAGTACCATCTTCTTCCTGGGGGTGATGGTGGGAGCGGTGGTTTTTGGATACCTCTGTGACAAGTAGGTGGAGGTGTAGTATTTGTAACAACTACGCAGTACTTTTTTTAAATTAGCCAACAATAATATTTGACTTGATTTGGATAAAAGACAATGACTTGGACTTACTTGAGACTTGAGACCATCTCTAGTTCCTGTTGGGGAAACACCTGTACTTCCTGGTACTGACTGTAGCTCCTGGTTCTTGTATTCTGTGGTGGAACCGTGACGATCCTTTTTTTTTTTTCCTCCAGATATGGGAGGAAGAAAAGTCTCCTGGCCTCGTACCTCCTGACCATCCTGCTGGGACTGGCCAGCGCTTTTGCAAATTCCTATGTTGTGTTTGCAGTTCTGAGATTCCTGACTGGGATTGGAATAACAGGAATCAGCCTCATCTCACTGGTTCTCAGTAAGAACACATTCAAAGTGTATTTTACCATCAGCTGGTAAACATTACCTTGTTCTGTCTTCACCATGTGACCATTTATAATGAAAACAGCACAACATACCAGCATGTGTTCATAATGAGTCTAAAAATACAGGTGCTCTTTTATTATGGACTATACAGCTTTATATCAACAGAAAAATCAAACAGAGCAACATTTCATTAAGTCATGGTGAAACACTAACCAACCGCAAAGTAACGCTGAGAAATTCTACCCTGATTCTACCCCGTACTCCAAGAATGGAGAATGTTCTGGACGTTCTGGACCTTTTTCAGGTACATTCAACCCGGATTAACTATGTTAGAAATAATTCAGTTCAGTTTTCACATCTCTACTGCAGCCATTGAATGGGTGGACACTGAGCACCGGTCGTTTGTGGGCGTGGGCGGCAGCCTGTCGTGGGCGCTGGGGAACATGCTGCTGGCCGGACTGGCCTTCCTGCTCAGGGACTGGAGGACGCTCCTCATTGTTGTAACAGCGCCACTGAGTGTTGCAGTTCTCACCTGGTGGTGAGTGAAGCACATTATTCATTTCTGACTTGGGAGAAACTGACCTGTACTGTCCTACACCGACAGCACCGTGAGTGCCCTCTTGTGTTAGGAATAAGCATTGCATACAAAGCGAATGCGGTCTCCAACAGCAGTAGAGAACAGTCTCTGTTTCTCTGTTTCTACTTTTAGACTTTTCCTCCCTGTGGGTTTGGTGAGGGGGCGTGGCTAGTTTACAATTTTAAACAAATTTAGGTAAACGAAAAATGTGTGTTTTTGTGGAAGTAAGTGATGACACCAGGACGTTATCATTGAATATACCTGCAGGTGGCTTCCTGAATCTGCTCGCTGGCTTTTGGTCAATGGTCGAGTGGAGACGGCTCAGTTCTACCTGGACAGATGTGCAAAGGTCAACAAAAGAACCAAAGTGTCGGTGAACCTGGAGGTGAGTTTCAGGTCAACTATCACACCTTTTAGAACGATCTATCAACAGTCTCTGACTATTTTTAACTTATTTTCACAGACTCTTGTTGATGATGAAAATCAAGATAAAAACTACACCTACCTTGACCTGGTCAAGACCCCCAAGATCAGAAAAATCTCTCTGATCACAGGCATCGTATGGTAGATGTCACTGCTCTGATATGAACTTTCTAGGCAAAGATTGGCTGCTGGTCTGAGCCAAATCTTCATCTATGGCTCATCAACTTTATCCCTGTGTAGTTGTTACGACTCTGCACATCACACTTCTTGTTAACTGGCACCAGAACACTTTTCCTCCACTCATCAGGCATCTTTTCAGGCTCTAACATTCTGTGGAACAGCCTAGTCAGGAAATTTACCGCCACTTCTCCTACAGCTGTTCCATAACAGGTCTATTTTTTTAAGCTGGTATAAAAAATGCTAAAAGCCGAGTAACAACGTACAAACACAATACGAGGAGCTAAAATCTACATTATACTCAAATACACAGTATAATACATATATTTAGCCCAAAATACCCACAAATACAAATATTAGCTCACAACCGTTAGCATCAAGCTAGCTTAAGACTTGGTTATTTTTAACTCTGTGTGTGTGTGTGTGTGCAGGTTTGGCGTTGCCTCCACCTACTATGGCATCAGTCTGAACATCAGTGGCTTCGGTCTGAACCTCTTCCTCACTCACTTCATCTACGCAGCCATTGAAGTTCCAGCCAAACTGATGGTCTACTGTTTCCTGGACTTCATTGGACGGAGGAGGTGTCTGTCAGGCTCGCTGCTGCTGACGGGGATCTGCATAGCCGTAAATGTAGTTCTTCCCAAAGGTTGGACTTCCTTTTACCAATTTCTATTTTAAAAACACCTTTGACTGTAAATAAAGAAGGAACTCACGTGAAAACGTCACCAGAACTCTATAGTTGGACCTTTGATTCTGGACCAAACGAAATATTCCCAAAGATTTGGCTCACAGTGATCTAATAGATTCAACGGAACTTTACTGTCTATTAGTGGTTCTCAGAAGCGTGTGAGGTTTACCTCCACTAGGGGGCGACATTGTTTCTGGTATTAGTGCCTGCCGTGGAACTGTACAGGGTTCCTAGAACCTTTCTGTTTTCCTGAGACTAGAACAGATTTCAGTACCGTGGTGGTAGATCTTCAAATGGATCCTCAGGTGGTTCCTGTAGTACTGTTCCTGTAGTAC